ACACACACACACACACACACACACACACACACACACACACACACACAACAAACAGCTCGGCTCAACAGGGTGAAAGTCCACTTATTATATGACAGAGTACCCGGAAGTCTAAGCCTCTCTATGTAGTCCCCCCCCCCACCCTAAACTCACACACACATACAGTGACATGCCACTCCACTGGTTCCACTGGTTTCATTGTAAGGACATCTTGGTCTTCCTTTTAATTACTGATTGGTTTAAGTGCCTTTGTGTCCAATCATTTTGGCTCTGATAATGCGGCGGAACAAGTCAGGCAACTCCGTCCAGACGAAGCAGCTTGCCAGATTTCTTCCGTGAGTGGAGACAAACTCCATCAAAATGTTTCCATCAGAAGAGGTGCGGTTTGGTCACGGAGAGGTTCAAACAAAAGCACGTCAAACAAAAGTACTTATCTTAAAGATACCCAACTGTTTCAGTTTTGCTCTCAAACTGGCTGATTTTTCAAGACCCACAAAATTAAGATTTTTTTTTTTTTGTTAGATAGACAACAAAAAGTGATTACAAATTTTTAAAAAGAGACTTGAACAACATATGTTTTCAGTGCAGATACCTTCAAAAAGACAGAGACACACTTGAGGGTGCACACTAACACAGTACCTGTATCCCACACTGAGGAGCGAGGAGATCGACGGAGCAGGCCGAGAAGATGCAGATGCCGGCGCACTTTGCTTTTGGTGGCAGTCACTTTGCACAATCACACTCGTTCTGAGACTCACTCTCTCTCTCTGTCCATTCACTCTTCGTTGATGCTGACAGGCCGCAGCGGAAATAAGAGTCTGTGTCTGAGTGTGGAGGTAAGCAAAGGTGGTTTAGTGTTTACTCGTCCTCAATGGCCAGAGGGGAGAGAGAGAGAGAGAGGTGGGGCCACTCAGCACAGGTAACCCCCCCCCCCACCTTTTCTTCTCCCTCCTTCAATCTCTCGCTCTCTCTCTCTCAGTTGATAAGGAGTAGGACAAAAGGGAAGGGATAGAAGGACAGAGGGTGTGACGGAAAGGTGATGATTGACAACAATCAGGGAAAAGTCATGTGTTTGAGTGTGCAGATGTATTTACAGAAATCAAATGGGCCAGCCCAGAACTAATCATAGTCTGAGTCAGAATTCAAACTCTGAAGAATAATGCTGTCGAAACTATTTCTGGAACAAGACTTTGAGTCTACACGTTGGCTTTGAGCTAAACGCCAACGTCAGCATGCTAACGTACACACAATTACAATGCTAAGACGCTAATGTTTAGCAGGTCTGGTATTTACCGTGATCGCACCTTCGATTTAAGTAATGCTCAAATTTGCTAATTAGCACGAAAAACAAAGTACAGCTGAGGCTGATGGGAATGGCATTAGTTTTGGAGGTATTTGGTCATAAACCAAAGTATTGGACAAAAATTTGACCTGATGGCGGCGCTAGATTAAAAGTCAGGGGATCACCAGAGGATTCATCCTCTATTTTTGGACCAAAGTGGTGGACCGACCGACCATGGCAGTTTGTGAAATAGTGCCGAAATGCAATCTATTGGTTTTGTGTACAGGGACAGGAATTGTCCATGTTTTTCGTGTCGCTTTGAACAACTTTTTTTCGGGACGACATTATGTTAAAAACGAAAGTTAGGTTCAGGGCAAAAAAAACACTTTGTTAGGTTTTGGAAAAACATCACGGTTAGGCTTAATATACCTACGTACAGTTAGGTTGAGCCATCAAAACCACAACGAGGTGTCGAACACCGGTCTCGTGGTTTGTGTGTCCCCCCGACAATTCGTGTCAATGTACACAAAACCAATAGGTTGCATTTTGGGACTATTTCAGGACCTACCCGTGATACTGGTGCTGGACCGACAGTGCCATCCCTTGAGTGTGCGAGCAAGTGGCAACACTCAAAAACAAAAGTACAGCTAACCAGAAAAGGGTTAACAAAGGTTAATCAGAGTGACACCATCTGTCCCTTAAGCTGTCAGTATTTGTTTACTTGAGATCACTTTTATCCACATGTCTCATCAAACCAAAGGTTTACTTTTTGTATATCTTCAGGCATATTAGGAAAAAAAGAACGTATAGGTCAATAGAGATTTAAAACAATTCAAAGAGTGCAGAGAGACAAACTGTGAAACAGAAGAGATTACTTGAACTAATCTCCGCCTGAGGCATTTTGGGACGAACCTGTCGAATTTCCTGTCGGAATTTCACAGGTCGATCTGTCCTGTGAGCAATCGTAGAATTTTATCAGCACGGTAGCCAAATATTTCTCCGATTTAAAATCTCAAGTTCAAACAACAGGTTAGCTCATCCAAAAAGTCCGTCACACATTTCTGGTTGTTGCTGTTAACGGCCCCGGACTTTCATAACCATTATGATGATTTTGTTTTCAGCTGACTTTTTTTTACAGGCATTTGCAATAAAGTATGAACAAACACGTAGGGAGATAAAGAGAACACAAAGTGGACCAAAGCTGTCGCATTCTGGTAGTATTTTGCCAGAAACACAGAGAGGGGCAGCGCAGAAGAGAAAGGAGAGCACATTGACAATGTGTGGAAGTGTACATAACCTCAAACAAGCCTTAAGGGGAGAACAAGGCCTGAGCGCTCTTATCAGACGGGGTGTCGTTCTCCTCCGGCAC